GATTTGGTTTCAGATGAATGGGCGATAATTCTGTTTCAATATGTGAAATTAAGTGTAAAAGAGTTGCATTTTTATCTTTTTTTTATGGAATAGGGGGCAAACGAGCAGGCGGGTCACCTGATGGAAAGCAACTACCGCCGCCCATGTACTGTCTGCAACTCAGGAGTCACAAGCGCGTTGCCTTTGAGGAAGAAGTACGCTCTTTTCTTGAAGGTTTGAAGGTCGTATCGGTCCGGAAATACCGCAGCCGATAACTTTGTATTAGTTACTTTGGAAATATATATGTATGAAGGGATATTAAAATAGGAATATTAAATAATACAAACCATTTGCCTCATCCGAAAACCATTATCCGAAAACTATAACTAAACAAAACCCAGCTATAATTGAGTAAATAAATTCTGATCAGCAAATTAAATTGTACTAATAAAAATAATAAGTCGTTATGTTTGGAAGACATGTTGAAAGCTAATTAAATTTGTAACATCTGTTTTATGTCTTTTTTGTATGAGACAATAGCAACAAAAAACCTTAGTAACAATAAGTTTCGCCAGACATGATGCGATACGTAACCCCACTGTATATTAAACCATTAAAAAAAAACATTAATTTCATTATTCGAACACACAACATAATATCAAATCTAAAAATTAATAATTTTATTTTTTTAACAATTAAAAAAAAAACATGGAAATAAATTTACAATTAATAAGCACTTCCTTAAATTACAAATTAACAACAACTAAAATTACAATCGCGCCACAGTCGGTCAACAGTTGCGCTGCAGTCGCGCCACTTTTCATTAAAAATTCACGTATCGCATCACACCGGGATATATTCGAGCTAAATTGTTCTTTATAATACAATAGAATATTGCACAAGCAGACCATTTCCGACACACTGAGAATTATAACCAAGTCGTCAACGTAACAAATATACATAATATTATAAACGTGAAGTGTTTGTATGTTTCAACGCGTTAATATCAGAAACTACTAGTCCCTTTTGCATTAGATAACCATAGTTAAGCGGTATTCACACAAGGAGCTGAACAGATCTATAAGAAATTTTACAATAGATATAGGTTTATAGTCTGAAATAACACATAGGTCAATTCAAAATAGACATTAACGTTAGGGAAGACGCAGGCAAAATTTTAACGCGTTCAAACAAACATAAACTTTATTATATCAAAATACTATCGAGAGTACAAATACCGGCTAAGTTCAGTCAAGTTATGACCGTCCCACGAATTAGGAAGACAGGAGGTTTGGCTCTGATAACCTTTTGCTTGACTGTACTTAGCTGGTTTCCAGGTCCTCGATATTGTGACGTCATTTCCTAGGTCCTCGTCCCCAGTATGTCTCACCATGCATTGTTAAGTGCGATACGTATAAACTAACAGTAAACAAACCTAAGGAGAATAATAACAGGAAAGGGGTTATGTTAATGACCAACCAAATGCCTCGCATAAACTTCACCGTCTTTGCTGGGTCAGGTTCCGTATAAAAATATCTAGATTTTTTTTTTTTTAACAATGAGAAATATTTTGCAACCTTATTGGGGGAGGTGAGGGTGTCTAGTTGATGGTTTAAAACGTTTTAGTGATTTGTATTTGATGACTAGAGAAATGTGGTCCAGTCACATGATGCTGTATTTGTTATATGAAAGATAAATTTAATGTAATATGTTAGAAAAAAATATCATTTTTATGTATTTACAACATATATTTTGTAAATTCCTTCGAAGAAGAATTATTCGAAAAAAAGTACCCAACAAGTTTCAACACACTTCAAATCGTTTACCATAGACAATCACCAACCCCATATACCAATTTCACCCTCCACTACCCAACCCAGCATAGACCAATAACCTAACCGACACATTCACCATCATAAAACTTGACCCTAACACGAAGTACCTCACACACGCACATACACAAACGCACACCTAACGTTATATATATATACACGCACACGTGCGCGGGCGCACGCACGCACACACGCAGAACTAAGGCCGCGAAATAACAACTAAACAACTTACTATAATATTAACGTCCGCAATCGTCACAGTACGGTAACTACACACATTGGCTTTGTATAAATTATATCCAAATATAATTTAATATTCAATACATAAAACGTCTATAATCAGCCACAAACGGTTGTCGCAATTTTATAATCAGCGATTTATTGTAAGCAAACTGCTTACAGTATGCGACCACGTGTAATATTTTATCCATTTAATTTTAAACATACTATAATCGACCAATCGCATATCGACGAGCCGGACTATAACACAGGCCAACAAAATTTGACAAAGTTTAGTTCCTAAAAACCAGAATATACTTTCTATTACGTAGAGTATAATAGGGGCAAAAATGCGTTTATCGCACTTTTAGGTTAGAATATCTCCAAAACCTGACGTGATAGAGCAAATCTGAGGCCGGATTTGGATTCAGCGCACCAAAACCCTACAAAAAAATTACACTCTGGTTCTGGGTAAAAATTTCGTTGGCCAGTGTAATCAGTAGCTAGCTAATTGTTAATACTTAGAAGCATATTGCCAATCAGATAGACCGAACGAATTATGTATTGAATATAAATTACAACGAACATAATTTATAAAAACCATTTCCGGTAATATTTAGAAAGATATTCTAATATAAACAGTCGAAAAACATAAACATACACATTAATCATTATTAAAAAAAAGTATTTACATACTTTGTAAAAATTTGCTGCAAATTATTTGCTCCTGGTTCGAAGGACCATCAGAATTATCATTTTGCTTTCGAGCCATTGATTAAGAATACACAAATATTCTTTGTATATGTTTATATTTTCGACTGATTATACTAATTGGTAGTATAATATATATAGAACTCTCGGCGTTATAAATGTTATGAACGACAGTGTCCTGGACACAGGTGACACAGAATCGTGACACAGAGCGACACAGGCGACGCAAATTCACATTAAAACATTTCGTAATTATAAAAAAAAAACTTTTGAATAACGGAAGACTTTTCAAAAAGGGTATTTTTTCTGTCTCTTTTACTTTGTATGTTATTTAAACAGAATATTAAGAAACCGATGGCGCAAATGTCGTGCTTCAATGCTTTGATATATCCTGACAAGTTTAAATATTTGCCGACATCCGCTTAATTAAACCACACGGGGATCTCTTGTTTCAAACTGAACTGTAAATCCTATCTAAGGACCCCTGTCACGTCCTACACTTCGACATACGACATATGTCCTTTTTAAAGTTTAATTTTAAAATATCTGTACGCCATTTTGAAAAAGTCTTTCGTGTCTTTTAGTTGGAAAAGAACAAAAAAAAAACATGGAGTAAATTAATTTGTTTTTGACAACAACAAAAAATATTCTAGTTTTTTTTTCTTCTTGAGATGTATAAACAAAGAGGGAACGACATCGAATTGGTATTTTAAGTGTATAAGAAACTAGTATATCTATATATATGCATATAAAAATGTTAAGTTGGTTTGTGTACGCTTCAAAAACTCAAAAAGAGCTAAACTTTTGACACAACATACATCCCGCTTATATTGTTTTTAGCTATTTGTTCCTCAGTTTTAAGGTTCCGTACCCAAAGGGTAAAACTGGACCCTATTACTAAGACTCCGGTGTCCGTCTGTCTGTCCTGTATAGATAATGGTACGGAACCCTTCGTGCGCGAGTCCGTCTCGCACTTGGCCGGTTTTTTCGGCGAAGCATGACAGGGTACAGCTAATAGTTTATATATATCAGGTCAGTATCAATTTCGGATTTATTTCAACTTCAAGCGGCGGTGCTTCAAGAGGTCGTGAGTTCAGTACACTACCGACGTGAACCCACTCCTAACACAAGCAAATTAGCTTAGCGGGAGGGGTTAACGGGAATACTAGTAATTCCGGTAGCTAATAAACATTTAAAAAAAACGTGAACAAAAAATAGGGTACATTTCTATATTTAAAAAAATTAGCCTGAATCACTTGAATGTAATACTTTGAAGTACAGCATAAATAGTCTTTCATTATAAATTTAATGTTATCATTATTTTTAATATCTTCAAATCAATATTAGATTGAAATGATTCGACAATACAGTGATATGACGTCACGTCTTAGTATTTCAAACAAAAATGTACCGCGTCTATCGTTTTGACGCATCTACCCTATAGTATCATAATTAATTTACAAAAACGTTCTTGAATCCGCCTTTTGCAACATGAATTGTATTAAACTGTATTCTTTATTATTTAATATTCTTCTAAATAAAAAAAGAATTTTCAAAAACCGATTCGGATATAACGAAGTTTTGAGGTGACCAACAAAAAAAAAGCAATCGAATTGAGAAACTCCTCCTTTCTCCGAAGTTGGTAACAGTAGCCTCGTAAATAACGTAAAATCGCTAACATTTTAGAAAAAATGGGTTAAAAAAAAACTTAAAGAAAAATACTGCCAAATTAAGAACCTTCTCTGTTATTAACAAAACTATTAAAAATGACTTCAATTGACTAAATTCTATATTGACACAGATATTAATTACTTCTTTTATTTCTGCCAATACTGATTTTTTTTATATTAATATTTACATATATGGGTAGGAAAAGCCTTGAGCACAGTAAACAGTTTTTTGTGGGGTCGTAACATCTCTTATAATATAGATAATGTTTATAAAAATTGTTTTACAGACCTGACACAATTTAATTTTACTTAAGGCGTTAAAAACTTACATTCTTAACTAACCAGATGTGTTATTTTGTAAAATATATTAAAAGTAACAGTTTTGATAATAGCGAACTATGACGTCACAAACCAGTATTCGAATTTACCGTTTTGTCGTTTTCCTCTTTGTTTTTACTCTATATTTTTAACATTGAAATTAAACGAATATTTAAAAATAAAAATTTGTGTCGTATTGTCCCTGTTACTAGGTAGTGTGGTCGCGTGGTCACTTGTGTGGGCGCGGAGAGTTCGCGCGCAACGCCGGGAGTCACTCGGAGTTCGTGAAATATTCTGACGCGTTCCCGCGGCATATGGGACACGTACGATTTGACTGGAATATGAAACATAGGATTTATTAGCGGAAACAAAAGTGAGAATATTCTATCGTGTGGCGATGATGGATTAAGAATACGGAGTGCCAACACCTCTATTCATCCATCGTAAGAGCTGACTAAGAGGACAAAGTACACAAGACAACCGCACTGCAAAGAGAAGGTAAACTTGAAATAAATTCTATACCAACGGGTCTGGCCAGCGTGGTACAGTAGGCCATAACCACCTTTCTGAAGAGAGGCCTATGTCCAGCAGTGGACTATTAAAGGTTGTTGAAGATACCTATAAATCTTTATCAGAGAAAGAACCATGAGTGTGGTAACCAACCAACCTTTTTAAAATAAGTACCTTTAAATAATTGATATATTTGGTTATTAAAATATGTTTACCTGTTTACTTTTCATAAGATTTAAAGGAAAGATCGACATAAACACATGCATTTTTATTTGTTATTCATTTATATCTAATCCATACTAATATTATAAATGTAAAAGTATGTTTGTCTGTCTATGACCTCTTCACGCTTAAACTGCGAAACCGAATAAGATGAAATTTGGTATAGGGGTGATTTGTGCAGGACAGCAGTTTTTGTCCTAGAAATTATCTTTTAAGGGGGGTTGCAGTTTTGAAAAAAGGGGTAGAGAGAGGGAGAGAAGTAAAGAGGTTGGGAGTAATGTAAAATAATAAGAAAGATAAGTTAGAGAACGTCAAATGCAGGTAGAGTGAGAGGTTGAAGCGGTGAAGATAGTAGTGAGCGGAGCACGTACCCGCAGCCACTTGTCGACGCACTTGGCGTGGAACTCGTGCGCGCAGGGCAGCACGCGCAGGTGCTGGCGCGCCTCGAACTCGCACATGCACACCACGCACGACTGCTGCTCGCCGCGGTGCGTGGCCGGCGCGAACTTGTACGACGGCAGCGCCTCGATCTCGTGCCGCGCCAGCCCTGGACCGCACCGACACACTTCAACACTACGTCCTCTGAGAGCAGGGAGACCCTCCCCTCCCGAGTCCCAGTAACAGTCACTTTTTCTTTTATAAATATAAAGACAATTCCCGCACTAGGAATATATCCTGTCTCGTAATCGTGAAACTCAGACTCAGAACAAAAATGTATGGATGACATCGGGGATCGAACCCACGAAATCAGCGCAGTAGGAAGCGGCGAGGTGACCGTTTAAATCACTACGCCAGTCGCAGTTGATTTCGTTATTTTCATATAAAGTAATCCATGTAAAAATCTGATTACGCGATACAGGATCCATTTATTGATATGTAGTTCGGCTTGTTATCGCTAGATGGTGCTGCCAGTTATGTGTTACTATGTAGATGTCGCTACAGACTCGTGGCATTGTATTCTTATGGTCTATTGGACCAGTTAATTATAGACTTCATGATAAAGGAATAATAATAATAACAACTTCACACATCTCACACACGGCAGTCTGATCCCAAACTAGGCAGACCCTGTACTATGGTAACCAGACTGCTGATAAACATACTTATATATTTCTAAATACATACATATTATAAATAAATTACACCCAGACACAGAACAAATGGTCGTGCTCATCTCACAATATTTGTCCTGGGTGGGAATCGAAACCACGACCTCCGGCTTAGCAGTCAGGGTCACTAACCACTAGACTAACAGACCCGTTAAATGAATAATAATAATAATAATAATAATAACAAATAATAAATAATAAATGTCATCCATACATGTCATGTCCCCGATGTCATCCATACATTTATAATAAGATTTAACTAGCAACACTGAAAATAATAATAATAATAATAATAATGATAAATGGATCCTGTATCGCGTAATCAGATTTTTACATGGATTACTTTATATGAAAATAACGAAATCAACTGCGACTGGCGTAGTGATTTAAACGGTCACCTCGCCGCTTCCTACTGCGCTGATTTCGTGGGTTCGATCCCCGATGTCATCCATACATTTATAATAAGATTTAACTAGCAACACTGAAAACAGTCGACATTTCTTTTACATATTTTAGAAACAAATAGATTTTACAACAATTTACAATATCGTAAAATAAGCTAAACAAATTAAAGAACAATAAAATGGATGCTTTATATAAAAATATCATTAAAAATGTTTAAAATAGATAAACCAAAAATAAATAAAGTATATGCATATAGACATGACGTCTAACGTCATGTCAAAATACATGAAAGTATTTTTCCACCCAAGAAAGACTGTAGAATGATAACAAGAGCTAGGTCGAAAGCACAATTAACATCCCCGGACTCGTCGCTCCGCTCCGTCTTGCCGTCCACGGAAACCACAACAGAAGCTCCGGCCGTGGCTGAGGCGTCGAGCTCGACTTCAAGTGACGAGTTTTTCTCTCCGCCGACGTCGCCAACACCTGTACGTCGGCAGGGGAGAGGCCGGCCACCGATCTGCTTAGGATCCCGAGGACCATTGACCTCGAATAGGGTCCCCGCTACCGGTGGTAATGTGCGCCGCATGAAGTGGACAAATTCTATCAATGAGAATGTCATGCGGGCATATTATCGGGCTACAGAGATGGGAACAAACCTTACTGCGTACCGTGTTCGACTAGTCTCTTTGTTTCAGGAGCTTGAACCTGCTGTCAACGTATCAGCACAACGATTGTCGGATCAAGTACGAGCTATACAGCGCTGTCATCTGCTGGATGATGCAGTACTTGAGAGGATACGCTCTGACATACGGAATAGCTTGATTATCCCTTCTTCGTCACACACTGTGGATTTGGTAGCTAATAGCACACCTCAGTTTGTATCACATACCAATGATGTTGATGAATTAGTGGAGGGTGAAGTTATATCTGTAAGTACCCAATACAATGACAGGATAAGGAGCGCTTTGGAGGATGCGATTCTAGAGTACCGGTATGTGAATTGGAATAATAGACCCCGATTGTCCCGTTTGCCCATTCATAAACGAAATTTAGCGCTTGTGGGTGCCCTGGATTCGTTATTGCCTGATTATTTAGACAATAGCGAAGATCTTGGTGATACACATTCTATTCTGTATTGTGCGGCTGTTGCAGTTTGTCGAGTAGCTGGTGTTAATATAGTTGAAAATGTCACTACTACTCGACCTAAATCAACTGTACCAGCTTGGCAGTGTAGAATTGAACGTCGTATTGCTGAGACCAGGGTGCTTATTGGTAAGCTAATTAGTTTTCGATCAGGGAATACGCGGCCGAGAGTGATGCGCTTTGTGAAACAGGCATTCTTGGGGACTACCATTGGTCCTCAGCAGTACATGTCATGTGTCACAGAGCGCATAGACTTTCTAAAGCAGAAAATTTATGCATGGGCAAATAGGATAAGACGGTACAAAAAACGAATAGATTGGTATAATCAGAATCGGATGTTCCAAAGAAATGAGAAGTGGGTGTACCGGAAATGGGAGGAACCGGATCCATGTGTGAGTCATGGGCATTTGCCAGATGAAAATGTCACACATACTTTTTGGCGGAACATCTGGTCGGTGCCTGTCACTCATATAGAAGGTGATTGGTTGCGGGATGTCAGACGCTCATGTGAGTCTATAACACCTATCGAACCAGTTATAATTGATAAAGATGATGTAAGCTGTGCAGTTCGTTCATTACCGAATTGGAAATCACCTGGTTTAGACGGACTGCACAACTTTTGGCTTAAGTGGTTCCGAAGCTCACATGCGTGTTTGGCATCTCAATTCCAGGCAGCTTTAAATTCGGGTTCATTACCCCAATTTTTAACCACTGGTATAACCCACTTACTCTATAAGTCTGGTAGTGTCATGGATCCCAAAAATTTTAGACCTATTACATGTTTACCAACCATGTACAAACTTCTTACATCTATTCTGAGACTCAAAATTACTTTACACATTAATAATAATTCGATTATGTCAGTTTCTCAGAATGGATGTAGAAGTGGGAGCCGTGGCACTAAAGACCTCCTATAGACAGGGCCATTAGCCAACAGGTGCGTCGTAATCGTAAGAGTTTGGCGACATGTTGGATAGACTATAAGAAGGCTTATGACTCGGTTCCACATACATGGCTTTTGAGGGTGCTGGAGTTGTATAAAATTGATACAACTCTGTGTACTTTCTTGAAGTCATGTATGGGGCAATGGAGAACAGCGCTTCGTTATCCAGGATGTCGGCAGACGACGGTAATTGATGCACCAATAAAGATCGAGCGGGGTATATTTCAAGGTGATAGTCTGAGTCCCTTGTGGTTTTGCCTGGCTTTGAACCCTCTTAGCACTTTATTAGAGGGTTCAGGGCTAGGCTATAGGTTGCAGAAAGACGATCAAGTTATATCTCACCTTCTTTATATGGATGATTTGAAACTACTGGCCCCCACCAAATTACAATTGTCAGCGTTACTGAAGGTGACGGAAAACTTTAGTAATTCTATCAAAATGGAATTTGGTGTAGACAAGTGTGCAGTCATGTATGTAAAGAAGGGTGAGATAGTAGAATCTGAAGGAATAGAGCTTTCCGATTCAACAAAACTCAGATCTCTGTCTGCCACTGAAACTTACAAGTATTTGGGTATATCACAGTCGTTAGGCATACCAGAATCTGACATGAAACAAACGTTGCAGGAACGCTTTTTTGGCCGTTTGAAAAAAGTACTTAAAAGTCTTTTATCGGGGGGCAACAAGGTGCGAGCCTGCAATGGTTGGGTCATGCCGATTCTGATGTACTCCTTTGGTATACTTAAATGGACTCAGACCGAACTAGATGCCCTTGATAGGAGAGTCCGTACATTGCTGACTGCATTTCGAATGCACCACCCACGTTCATCGGTTATGAGATTGTATATCCCGCGAAAGCTAGGGGGTCGCGGATTATTAAATATCAAGACCCTACACAATCGGGAGATATGCAATCTCAGAGAATATTTTCTACATACCGATGTGGGAATGCATCGCAATGTAGTTGCAGTGGATATCGGATTCACCCCGCTCGCTCTGGCTAAAGAGAATTGGCGCAAACCTGTAGTATTTAGTACTAATGATCGTAGGGAAGTATGGAAGGGCAAAGAGCTCCATGGCCGGTTTTATCGGGCCCTAAACGGGTCCGATATAGACTTTAAAGCATCTACGACTTGGCTACGGTATGGTGATCTCTTCGGAGAAACTGAAGGTTTTGTTTGTGCGATTATGGACGAAGTTATCATGACGAATAACTATCGGAAATATATCCTGAAAGATGGTACGGTTGACATCTGTCGGGCATGTCACCGTCCTGGGGAATCAATCAGGCATATCATTTCTGGTTGTTCTCGTCTTGCTAACGGTGAATATTTGCATAGGCACAACCAAGTAGCCAGGATTGTACACCAACAGCTTGCTCTTAAATACCATCTTGTGAATCTAGAGGTGCCATACTACAGGTATGTGCCCGACCCAGTTCTCGAGAATGGTCGGGCCACGTTGTATTGGGATCGATCTATTATCACAGACAGGACTATTGTTGCTAATAAGCCTGATATTGTAGTGATAGATCGATTAGAGCGCCGCGCAATTATTGTTGATATCGCCGTTCCTCATGACGAGAATCTCGTGAAAGTTGAAAAAGAAAAACAAATAAAATATTTGGATTTATCTCACGAGATTGTCGATATGTGGAATGTCGATTCAGTGATAATTGTTCCGATAGTCGTATCTGCTCACGGATTGATAGCCAAGAGCCTCGACCAACACCTTAAGAGGCTCACGTTGGACGGCTGGATCAAGGGTCTGATACAGAAGGCAGTCCTCCTTGACACGGCTCGTATAGTGAGGAGGTTCCTATCTTTGCAGTCCTAACCACTGGTGTCTTGGTACCTGTACCCGATGTCGGTGGTCTACTATTTTTTATATTTTTAAATGTATTTTTATTTCTTTTGTAATATATTTAAAAATGTAATTAATATGTATATATAATTTAATAAAGATAATAATAATAATATTCTACCACATACACACAACGCCATCTAGTCCCAAACTAAGCAGAATGTTTTTAAACTATTTTAAAACGTATTTTTCCTGTATATTCATTTCGCGATACTAAGTGAAACATCGATCAAAACCCGCACCCTCACCGATCAAGTGCGAAACTGTCGTACTTGGAAATTTCCGTTTAGTCATGGATGCGTCACTATTTTCTTAACGCGAATGAGCTATAAACTATTTATTTATGTATTTATTTAGCCGATAATCTTTCTAAGTGACTTCTTTCATTCATTTTTTTTAGAAAAAAGCTTTTCCCCTATATTAAGTCTCAAAAGGTCAAGGTAGTGAATAAATGGTCGCTCACCTCTCGGTTTGGCCTCTCCCAGCCTCTCTGCGAGCGAGAGCAGCGCCTCGTAGTTCTCCGTCTCGTTCCCCTCGGCGTCGTCCCCTCCCGCGCCAGCGCCCCCCCCGCGCGCCTCCGCGTAGGGCGACAGGGGGAACATGGCCAGGAGGTTCAAGAACACCTAGAGAGACAATATTTAATGTACATTTTACATCGTCTTTCATTCATCGTTACAATATAATATATATTTAATATTAACGATTTTTCCTAAAGGATTTACATTATTTAAGTCCTTGTGATGACGGATTAACAATACAGTATGTCGCGATTTCTATTCATCCCGTGGGTGTCGTAAGAACCGACTAAGGGAGCAAACTACGCAGGACGACAGCACTGCAAAGAGAAGGAGAAATTGACACAAACCCTATACCAACCCGTCTGGCCAGCGTGGTATAGTAGGCCAAAACCTCCTTTCTAAGGAGAGGCCTATGTCCAGCAGTGGACTGTTGCAGGCTGTCGATGATGATGATAAGTAGCAATAGTACAAAGTACGTACCTGGTAGGTGGGTGGAGGGGGAGGCAAGGACAGCGGCTGCGCGACGTGGAGCTGGGCCTGCACGTGCGCCGGGAGCGCCGCGCCCACCAGCCCGCCGCCACCCTGGACAAACACAACATAAACAATAATAAAAACTATAAGATTTTTTTTCCGCACTAGGAATATATCCTGTGTCGCGGGGGACTTTACAAACATACATGAAACGTACACAAAGAACACCCAGACTCAGAACAACAATTTGTGGATCACACAAAGTGTCGTCGAAGCCCAAAATCGATCTAAGTGGCGTGCAATGGGAGAGGCCTATGTCCAGCAGTGGACTGCGATAGGCTGATGATAATGAAGCTCTTCGACCGTACCTGCGTGTGTATATGGTGTATGGGATGGTGCGGCCACCGCGCAGCGTGTCGCACGTAAGGGCGGGCGCGCGCACCGCTCCCCACCACTCCCACGCCTCCCCCTACTCCCACGCCCACGCCGACTCCGGCGCCGCTGCGTCTGTGGTGATGGGACAGCGCATGGCGCGCGTGGTGGCCCGCCATCAACTCCAACGGGGCGCCGCGGGCCTGCTCATACACATCGTACTGATATAAACATGTAAAAAAATATTTCAATTAGTATTATAGTTGGTATGTTGAAATCACAATCTATGAAGCCTAAACCATATAGAGTACGATTCCAGAGCCTTAAGACATAACTTATTTTCAAAAAGATGAAACCTTAGGTTCTGAAGTGTAGTTTGAAATTTAAATATATCTGTTTATTTTCTACAAATGGTACCATTTCATCAGATGCATTTCAATATTTTTCGTGTTTAGGGGATGTCTGGTCATCACCATTTGTATGACCGATTAAATATAACTTTGTAATAACATATTTAAAAATCAGACATGTAAAATACGTTTATTTGAAGCTACAAGGCGTGTGACAAAAGTTCTGGTCCATGAAAAGCGTCTGAAACTTATGATATTACTTCACAGTAATATTCTATAATATATGTATGTATTAGGTCTTTTTTAGACCTTGCACCTACCGACTATTAGTTTTTCCAAAATTTAGACAACTTTTTAGTGGGTAAAAAATTCAATTCCCGAGAGGCAGTACAAAATGCTTTTGAAGAGTTTGTTGCCTCCCGTCCAGCTGATTTTTACAAGAAGGGCATCAATAAACTGCCAATGCGTTGGCAAAGATGCGTCGATTGCATGGGTGATTACTTCGAATAACAGAAATAAAAAAGATTGAAAAAATAAGTACTTTCACTTATTGCATACAAAACGGCAATTTTTATATACAAATAAATAAAATTGGAGTGTGTTTGTAATTTTAAAATAACCGCTTTTTACTAAATTTGTTTTTACACGGTACATATGCCAAAATAACATTTTTTACAATTTTTGTCTGTCTATCTGTCTGTCTGTCTGTCAGTCTGTTTGTTCCGGGTAATCTCTGGAACGGCTGGACCGATTTCGGAGGACATAAGGAGTAACTTAGGCTACTTTTTTTAGACTAGCTTCGCCCCGCGGCGTTGCCCGCGGTTATAACAACAAACGCGGGTAATATCGCGGGTCTCAGCTAGTATGTATATAAAAACCAGCCATACAAATTTAAATTAAGACATTTTACCTTTCGCACTTTTTTTTATGTTAGGTTAGCACGTGGTATGCCTTTATGGTAGGTTAACTACCAGATTTATCTATATAAGGAGTATCTTAGGCTATTTTACCTCGTATAAAAACCCTATGAACTTTTGCCCGAACCCGAGACCTCATGGACTGCAGTCGCGTACCGGACTACACCACTAAGGCAGCGCTTATCATATTCCGAACTAAATCGCGGGTACCAGCTAGTAATACATATAAGTATGAATACCCAACATACCTCAGTGGCAAGTAATAGCGGCGCATGATGCAGATCAGGTGTTGGCTGAAGAGGAGACAGTGTGCCTTCCCCACCACCAACCATTTCTAGACGACCGCCCTCGGCTCGCTAAGGACAGTATCATAATATCAATAAGAATATTCTGAAGGAGGGGGAGCTCTACTGGGGGTTAAAAAGTAACTGTTATAAGCAGACTTTATATAACTTTTGTTAGAGGATCCTTACTGCTAAGACAGAGGTCGTGGGTTCTAAACCCATCATCATCAACAGCCTATAACAGTCCACTGCTGGACATAGGCCTCTCCTTAGAAAGGAGGTTTTGGCTGGTTGGTATAGGGTTTGTTTGTCCTGCGTTGTTCGCTCCCTTAGTCGGCTCTTACGACACCCACGGGATGAATAGGGGCGGTGACATTCCGTATTCTTAATCCGTCACCACACGGACTAAACCCACCCAGGACAAAATAATTGGGTGCGTAATAGTCTGTGTTTAGAAATATATAAGTATGTTTATAAGTAGTCTGATTGCTATGACACAGGCACCGTCTAACTTGAAATCAGACAGCTCATTTCTTCTTCAATTCTTCTTTTTAGCCTTTTGCAAGCCAAAGGAAAAAAGAAGGTTCTCAATTCGATTGCATTTTTTTTGTTTTTTACGTCATAACTCCATCACACACACATCACATCCACAGCCTTTAATAGTCTACTGCTGGACATATGCCTCTCCTGAGAAAGGAAGTTTCGGCCTACTATACCATGCTGACCAGACGGGTTGGTATAGGGTTTGCTTCACGTTTTCCTTCTCTTTGCAGTGCTGTTGTCCTGCGTGGTATGCTCTAGTGTGTTTTCATTCTGTATTCTTAATCCGTCACCACACAGATAGTCACAACTCCGTCGATTTGGAAAATACATTTTTTTATTTGGAAGACTACTTTTGTTTGGTCCATTTAAATTTTAGGAAGAAATTCCACCCCTAAAGGAGCAAAATTAAGGAACGAAGAACACTAAGTTCATGATACTTTTTAAAAAGTTAATAATAATAATTATAACACTAATACATACCTGTGAATTCGCAATATAATGCGTGTGTGGATGCGTGGGGGAGGCGAACGGTCCCCGCGGGGGTGGGGGCGGCGCGAAGCTACCGTGGTACTGCAGCCCCGCGTACACACCGCCCATCTGAGCAACCAGCCAATACATAGTACTGTGTGTCCGATAAGGACGGAAATACTGTGATGAAATGTGCCGCAGCGATGTACATTGACGTTTATGTTTGAAGTTTTGGGTTCAGATTTAAACATGAACCAGCAATGAATTGGATTCATTTGAAGTTATCGCTGAGACATCTTCTCGGACAGTAATCCGTCTTGTTCTGGTGAAGATATGGTGTAACACGACTGTTTCTTTTAATTATTAACTACAACATATATTTGTTTAAGATGTCAAATTATTAAAAAAATGATTTTGGCACTTTTTTGCAGATCATACAAACAAAACTAAGAAAAATAAATAAATACAATTAGAATAGTTTAAATGCCACTTTTACCTCCTTTCTAAGGAGAGGCTTATGTCCAGCAGTGGACTATTAAAGGCTGTTGATGAAATGCTACTTTATAGACGCGGTACTTATTGTCTATTAGGCATTGTCTGTTATTCTGTACCGATACCAAAAAAATCCTTACACAAAAATAATCCGGGAATAGATCCTGGCCTCGTACTGAAAGCCACGACTAATGTACATATCAGACATCTTTGAATTCAACTTTAACGAGCCTTGACAACTATGAATTATAAAACTTTGTTTTGTGACGTCACAGTAGTTATTACACCATCTCTTTCACACGCAGCGTGTAAGAGGAGCCCAAAATACCAGGGTAACATATACAGCTGAGTAGACGAAGCACAAATACACTACCCTCTCGCTCACCGTATAATTACATGTACAATATAAATACATAAATAAAAAATTGTGACCTACGCTCTAGTAATTATTTAAATGTGCTTGTTTCACTATAAACATCCTTAATAAATAAATAAATAAAATATATATATATATAATCACGTTATTGTAGTAGGTATATAGTGCGAAATTCGACTCGAAAATGTTTTTTTTTTTTTATTTAATAAAAACGGATAATAATAAGTGTCCAAATAATGTTGGACTATAAGTTTAAACAAATTGTAAGAAGAAGTGGTTCATATTACATTGGTTTTATATGTATTAAAAGCCCAATATAAATTGAACTTTAGTACGCTTGATATATGACGAAATCTAGTTTCATAACAAATTGGCCAAATAAACCCAATCACTCATGATTATAATAGCTCATTTTATTGAACTCTCATTTATAGAAGACCTTTAAAAAACTTAGGTCATTTAAAGCTGGTTTCAATCAACTATTATTAATACAAAACAGATAAGTTTTAAGTCGAATTTCAAACTATTAAAAATGTAATTGTATTTGTGAATAAAAATACGGGCTCCACTACGCTACTGTGGGCGAAACTATACGGCTAATATAAATATATGGAGAACGGTAGCTTAAAACAAATATATCGAGTATAAAAATATGTAATATTGTAGTACAAAGTTCAGAACGAGAGGGGTAGGTGATTGCGCGCGGGTTAGTTGCGCCGGCGCACGACACGCCGGCTCGCAGTTTGCGCGACACCTCGTGTTATAATTCACATTAAAAGAGCATATCTTAGGAAACAGCCAAGTTCTAATAATCAAAGCGACCAGCCAAATATTTTTTTCAATGTATTCTCTACAAAATACCAAAGCTTGAGTTGCTAGCGGCAAAAATCTTAAATAAACAGTGTGGCAAAACCCGTCGCCGATTTCACCCCGTGTGGGCCGAAACAGCGGCTCGTGATGACAATATCACGCCGCTATTGGTCAGCGGTGCGCTGTAGGCGCACTCCACACGGGGCGACACTCGGCCACGCTCCAAAATTATACACGAAGAACACGGAACACATACACAAGGTATTCAAAAGTGAGGAAAATCGTTTGCATGCGGTACACGAATAATAAAATATTAAGTGACGGGGTTAGTCGACCAAAAAAAATATTTGGGAAGGTCGCTGTGGACCGGGACTAAGAGAACTCAACACATCAGGCCTTGTTTGGACGCTAGCGGAGCGAGGTGAAGAGTTCAGGCACTAGTACATGTCGCAGCGCTAGATGTAAATATATATTACGTATGTACAGAAGAGGTCCGTGGGGCATGCGGCGGGCCGCGTGTGGTGTCACGGCGTCGTAATTAGTGTGTGATGATATATTTGGTAAACGAGTCAGAGTCGGTCCAGAGAGTGTGAGGATGGAGAAAACATTGATCTGAATGTTATTAGAGCGTCCCTGCGACGCGGCACACTGCGACTTGGGATTTGTTCTCACATTCGCGGTTTTATAGAAATCAATATTTTTATTCGAATAGCAATAAATAAAGTCAATAATGAATTTTTTTTTACAAAAAAAAAATGAAAATTTGTCAATTAATGGCAATTTTTGTAAATTTTTTTCAATAATTTGAAATGTTTTCAAAAAATTGAGAAATTAGAGTAACCGATACTTGAATGTTATTGCTGCAAGTCCTGATCGCCAGTGCGCTGCGCTCGCGCACCTAATGTCATCAAGCCATTGTGCAGACTGTCTATGTAGTACAACTGATGTGATGCACACATGTCTATACAGGCACCGCCACCTCCAGGCCACACTTACGCGCCAACCCAAACACAATACACTTGTATTAGCTTATATATTTACCTATATGAAGCCTATATAAAATTCTAAATAACTTGCTTAATAAACGTTAAAAAAGTTTTGTGGATATACTAGTAAATTTATCGACCTAACTTGGTCTTAGTGACTTGGTCGCTCATAGATCAGAGCGACCAAACCTTCGACCAAACATCTGAAATACAAACATATCCTGCTACTTCACAATTACAGTTTATTTTAGTAAAGTTTACGAAATGCCTATTGTGTACAGGGTGGCACGAATTATTCAATCACTAAACATGACATGTGGTTTTAGAGTACTCGTCTGACGTTATTGGACCACTCCAAGCGCGCTAATACACCAACCACTTGGTATTACTACATTTTAAATCACATAGAATTATTATTTGTAATAAAATCAGCATAAGTTGAAAAACACGAATTATTTTCAGACTTCTATTAGATATTAATAGGAGATATGTTTCTGCGTAATGTACAATATTTATAATATATATCAGGTGACCACTATCAGGTGATTTTTCAACTTACGCTAAAAAAACCTTAAAGAGAATAAAACGTTATACAAAAATATACATTTTCATAAAACATTTATCAATCACCAGAAGCTCTAATTTCTAGAAAACTCTATGAATTAAGTGTACAAGATTTCATGTGAGAGACATTATACAACTAAGCGACAGTGTGAAGGCGTTTTAACGAATTGATTTTGAAGCGTCTCGTTTGTATGTTTGTGTGTGTGTGTGAGCGTGCGTAAGCACACCCCTACACAACACATGGGTCCTGATTCTCTATGACAATATCAACATAACAAGCTAAACTTCGCTATCTGCGTAAAGATTTAAACCATTTACTCGGGAAAGTCTCTTAAAATTATTTTACTTGAATAAATCCAAACGCAGATGATATACACGAGCTTGTCAGTAGCAAAACGTAGTGGTCATAGCGAATCACCCTTTCTAGGTGTTAGTTATGACCGTCCCCTCAGAAACACAGTGGCCTAAGCCTCTGTAGGTTCGATAGTTAGGTGTACGCAAGCGACACAACACAGGCGACTACAGCGCGATTCAGACCATCTGGGCATGCATATGTGCGCGACGCGGCAATTACAGAATATGAAATTGTGTGCCTCCACCTAGAAACCACCAACCACTTATATAAAATTAGCAAAAATGGATGAACAGAGGGTCGATTGCAAGTTTATTTCACATCGACTCGCTCTCGACGGCGAGCGCGTTTAGCGTTGCGATTGGTGGAGATTTCAGTGCGGACCAATCGTAGCGCCGAACGCGGTCACCGTAACCATCGAGTAGAAGTGATATAAACTCGCACTTAACCCTCAGAAAATAAATTCAGTTTACCTTTGTACTAAAATATATCAGTAATCTAATAGCATGATGTTTTGACACTATAATTAATAATAAAACCAATGTGTTAGTGAATGGTGATTTCTTACTAAGGCAGCGACCTCTGTCGAACACCGAGAGAATCCATTACCAAACTAGTAGTAAACAAACCAAGCGCGGGTGATGCCGACTGCTTACATTTACAAATATCTTGTGACTGTCGTACCGAAATTTAACCAATTATTTTTTATCAAAATTAGACACTTGGTCTTCACAATATATATCAAATTTCTATGACTTCGGCGCAACATTCACATTGGAAAATATCATTTCATTATAAACACTATCGTAAGTATAGTATTAACAAAACAGCGTGTCAAGCCGATAGATCGACCATCAACCTGAAGCTTTCACCAAAATGGAAACGAAACCCGTCATCCTTACTACCACACATAGACACATCACATCATCACATCACATCACATCAACAGCCTTTAGTAGTCCACTGCTGGACATAGGCCTCTCCTAAGAAAGGAGATGAATCATATAACTAAATCATATAACTATATAACACCTCTAATTTGTAAGTGGGTGGTTATTCAAATTTATTATTATATTACATATTAGGTCTTGCACGAACACTTCACTCGCCTAATAGCAGCGACCAATCGACTAACTTTGGTCGTTAAGATACTTCTAGTACACACTGAATGAGTAATTTGGTCGAGAGATAGAAGAAATAAAAAAAAGTATTTTATTTGAGTGATATGTGAAAATTAATTTAATAATTTGTGTTCAAAGAATTAATTTATAGACGAAAAGAGAGTGTTTATGTGTGGGATCGAGGATGGAAGTGTACGACGAGTAAGAGATATACCTCGATGGAAATATCTGTCATAAATAGCATTCGTAAAGAGAACATGGGCTACCATTAAAAATACCACTAGTTGGCGCTACCATTGATGCAGCAAATATAGGAAACTGAAGTAAATAAAATGTATAGTTTGTTGATTTTTAAGTTCTTTAAGCAATTCAATGCTAATTATTTATAAACAAGCTATAAAAATGAAATAAATTTGTAAATTAAAAACTATATTGTGCCATTTTTTTTGTTTTGATACAAAAATAAACACTCAATACAGTAAAAATCATATTTTAATAGACGAGTTAGCCATCTAGTGACATTAATAATTAGCACGACATAAATACAGCCTAGTATTTCTAGTTTGAATCGTCATAAAATGTAATTAATATTCACACAGACATTTCCTTCAAGCGATAAAAGCACTAGGAAACGTTGATCCACGGGAGCACCACGCAGCGTATTTCGGTAAACTCGTGCGAACACGCGAGTACGTCTACGATGTAAGAACACCATGGAGACGAATTGTTTTTTATTTTTTAAGTTAATGAAGCTTAGCTTTGCTTTATGAGTTGTTCTGCCTGTCTAAAGAGATTTCTTCTACGCTCAAGCAATGGACATGTTCAATGGTGTCAGTTAGAAATTGTTGTTACATTTTTACATATGGACAGAGTTAGTTGTTAATATATTTGGACTAGACTAGTGTATGTTAATATTCTGATAAAGTAAAAGATTTTGTTTAACAGTTGGATGAAATAAATGATTTGTTTAAAACAGACTATCACCAATTTGAAATATTCGTTAGATAACTTATCTATAAATCTTATAATAATATGATATCGTAGAAAACCGAATTAAAAGAAATATATCACGATAATATTGTTGCGTGTTTTTTTTTTATGTTAGAGAGGGCAGACGAGCAGACGGGTCACCTGATGGAAAGTGACCATCGCCGCTCATGAACGTTTGCAACTCAGGAATCACAAACGCGTTGCCGGCCTTTTAGGAAGGAGATAAACATTTGTACATGTTATAGAATACAGCATTAGAACATATAGCTAGATTCTGTCTCCAAGTTGCTCATACAAAGTTAGCGCACTAAGACATTATGCTAAGAAATGGTGTTAGGAACATGCACGCCCATAAATACAATCCGAACTTGTCTATACTTTTCAAGATCAATCGGAGGCTACGGTACCACTTGACTCATACAAGAGTATGCATATGAATAAAAAGCTATTTTGCTTAATTTTAGATAAGTAAAGTGAAAAGCAGTATGTAGGTATCATTTTATTTAAAATCTTTAATAAATTACATTATTTTTTTTATTAAATCGTATTTTATTTTGAGTTTATGATTGCTGTTAAAGTGATAAGTTAAAAAAAGGGTTGTACGAGAAAGTTTCGAGACATACAAAGGTAGAATATTATAGAGCAGGACATTGACAAACATTTGTGAATCATTAAACGTTATAATGGAGGTTTAAGTTTATTTACATGCATGGCTTTTTATATAAGACAAACAATAATATTTAATAATAAGATTCCCCTTCAAATAAACATGCTAGTGATTCCCAAAAGTGGTACCGCACCCCATGACTACCCTGTACGTTGTTGTGTATACCTGGTAGCGTAAATGCGGTAGCGCGGGCATCAGGGCGGCGCCCCACACCTCGGCCGCGCTGGCGGCAGCCACCTACACACCGCCACACCGCGGGACCGCGCGACAATCAGACCCAGCCAACGTGCCACCGACACCGAACGTACGTACCAATTCACTAACGTGGCCGACCAATTCACTAATAGGCGACCATTTCAGTTATAGGCTACTAAGTCATAAATGTTTTGAACATGTTACTGTCTCACAAGTAAATGGGTGTAAAAAACCTTCAAAGTGTCTAAAAAATATATTTGAAACGTATGTAACTAAGTATAATGAGTTATAAAACTTTAAAAACTTGTTTTTCTTTTTTTAAATTGTTTTATAGAGCCTTTTCACAGATAACTTTGCTCTTCCAGGTGATTGATTTAAATTAAATTTAAGAGAAATTAAACAATAAAAATTTACATTACAACCAAACAAATGGTCACATAATTCGAAAGAAATTAATTATATACGGTCATGCCAATAGCCCGTTAGCTAAATTTTTCAGTAACGTTCGGTTCGGTGGTCGTCGCTCAACTTAATAAACTAAACTTAACACTAACATACATATACAGTACAATATAAATGACACAATACTGTGCCTACAACCTAACATATATTCGTTATGCGATGCCCAGATTGACAGCTCACATGTCGCCGAACACCTAACAGTATTCAATATAATAATAGTTTAATGAAGGTTTTTATTTTGCATTAAGTGTCGCTACCAGTACTTGATATTCCTATAGTCTGATGAAGACTTCCATTTTTATGTTTTTTTTTTTATGAATGAGGGGAGGAACGAACAGACGAGTCACCTGATGATAAGTGGATAAAAGAGCCTACTCTTTTCCCGAATGTCGGTATCGGCCCGAAAATACCGCAGTCGACAATTAGTTCTACAAATTTGTTAAAAACATAATGAATAAATATTGATTTATGTAAGATTTATGTAAAAATTCTTCTAACCATTCGTAATTCATTCGAGTTATATTAAGAATACGCAATTCAAAATGAATTAGTTGTATTTTCCTTGAAATTCGCTCGTTTATTGTTTACTTCCATATAATAACAGATCATAGATTGACTAATGTTATCATAAAAAGTGTAGTATAAGACTGGTTGGTCGTGCAATGTTGAGCGGTAAAACGTACGACCAAGGGACTTAGTGACTTGGTCGGGAGACATTAGTCAACTGGACTTAGTCGTATACCTAATGAAAATTTTATTTATTGTTGAATATGTCGACATCGGAAATAATTAACAGTCAAAACATGTTTTGTTGTTAACATGGGACGCAAGCGCCATTTTTTTGGCGCTCCGATAACCTCGCTGGAAACCAACAAAGGAGTTGCTTAAGTTGGTGACAAGCCGGCCCAATTGTGCTGAAGTCTAGCACTCCCATGGTCAAAAGAACGGGAAGATGACGAGGTGGACACAGTCTTCTTCAGAAAACATAAAATAAAATTACTTTTTATAATATTTAAAGTATTAATAGCGACGCCTTATGCAAAAAAAACACTCATTGAGAAGTTCTCTGTTCACCTAAATACAAAATTAGCAGCATTGATTGCAGAAGCAATGCTAACTAGGTTTTTTAGGACCGAAAGTAGATAATTATTTTATATATATACTACAATGCTATCTTATTTGTACATTTTTGAGATATATGTTTTAAAAACAGATGGTAAGTACAATTTTCTTGTATTGGCAAAAACATTTGTTTATTACAACCAATGTTTGTGCCAAATGCAGTTACTATCCGTTGACTTTGTTGCTGTGTGTTTAACATGTTAATGAACCAATGTTTGTCAAATAAATGAAGAAACTCAAGATACGTATCTAGACGTAAAGTTCGTGCTATCTCGATTTTGTTTGCAAGAAGAAACGAGATGGCAAAACATAATTTTAAGTTATTTGTGTAGACATAGTTTTGGGCGAGTTCATGTACGGTATATTTATAGAAAACTTTTTATTAATAACGAACATTATCAGTGTTGTACATACTAGAGTGTATGGCTCGAAGGACCATGTGTTGTATTCTTATAACAACACGATGATAAGACACTCATTAAAATGGTATTTATTGATATATTTTATTACACAAACTAACTGATGCTTATTTTAACTGTAAGTTAAGATATTGAAACAAGACTAAGTTACGTAGTATACCGTACATAATCTCAGCCCAAATCCCCTACAACTAAAACAGTATCCCTTTCTGTCTGTATGTAAATTTTTGGCATGTACTTTGTGGAAACCTACTTCAAGAAACTCTCCTATCAAGTGTGGAAACTGTAAAAAATCGACACCATTAACTTTTTTATTAATTATATTATAATAATAATACACTACAAACGCATAACTTAGGCAAATAATTTCGTAGTTATTTCTTTATTTTCACAACACTAAGGTTGAGATTCCATCATTTTCATTTTTTTATTATTTCGTTAATATCTACTTAACTGTTTTTAATACTATGTGTGTAAAGTCCAGATTTTGAATTATAATTTAATAATAAATAAGGTTGCAAGCGATTTGAGCTTTAGATTAAGCCAACATTTAAAATTGGAACAGTTTTTCTTTGACTAACCATAAATAACTGTGGTAATGGCACGAAATAGCTTTCAGGATAATATTTTGTAAATTGGATATTAATTTCTTTCTCTATATAATTTTAAAAATAAATTAGGAATTCCATTTTCAAATGTTTCTCAATTTCGGCCTGATTTAAAACTCAAGTCATTTTCAACATTATTTGTTATAATGTAGAATTCAAAATGTATAAACATAAACATTATATATGCTGTTATGTAGTTATGCGTTTGTAACGTAATCAGGTAGGCGTGTCTAAGGCGAGTGTGGCACTCTCATACCTGCGTGCGCTGCGAATGGTCGCGATGCGCATGCGCATGGGGCGCGTGTGCGGCGTGCGGCGCGTGCTGCGCGTGCGGCGCGTGCGGGTGCCAGCCCACGCCGCCCAGCGCGCCCAGACGCGTGCCGCGGAGTGGCATCTGTGGGATACAACGGTACAAGATGAGTGTAATTCTTTTTTTAATATATTAAACATAAATAATATATTAATAAACAATGTATTACTATACTATTTATGTTTAATGATAATTAACTTGCAGTGCTGATGTTCTGCGTAGTTTGTTGCCAGAAGGAAAACTTGAAACAACCCCTATAATAACGTGTCTGGCCAGCGTGGTATATTGAGTAGGCCAAAACCTCCTTAGTAAGACGAGGCCTATGTCCAGCAGTGGACTATTATGGGCAGTTGACGATGACAGTTAAGTTATCAATTATAACTTCACTGGGTCTTCTAATTTTAGGTTCGATATCAAAGTTTGTATGTAGTTTAAAAGCCAGTACTATAGTTCTTCATGTTTAAGCTGCTCTGATGATGGACGCAGGGAGTCGATTTTAGCATTCTTCTACCAGAAAACCGCTTGAGTTTAGACATCTATGAGACGTTATGACGATTCCAACGGATTCACTTGAATACGATTCTCTTGACGTAGTAAGAAGGTGGTTAAGGACAGTGGAAAGCTGTGAACATTCTTTTTAAATTAAGTTACATATCTATAATTATTTTCTAAAGTGGTTGTACGCTTACCTGGTTGATATCCAGTAACAGAGGTGTGTGATGCGCGTGCGCGTGGTGCGCGTGATGCGCGTGCGCCACGTGCGGCGCGTGTGGCGCGTGGGGGGCGTGCGGCGCGTGCGCGGCGTGGGGAGCGTGCGGCTCCAGCAGGCGCTCCGCCCACGCGCCGCCACCGGCGTTCGCCACGTACCTCACCCGCCGACTGACAAAGCAACATAGTGTCATTACAATCGCAATTTTATTAAAAAATCCGTTGTCTGTACAGTCGGTTTACTGACGATAGTTGAAAGTGACAACGTCATAAGAAAATACTGATGGAATGGTTGCATTTTTCAAAAATGTATTATTGTATACGAGTAGCAGCTGTCCACGCGGACGCATCGCTCACTCAAGTAGGAGAGAGACAAATGTCGAACGCTGCCGAACGCGGAAGCCGATTGTGCCTCTTTGTCACTCGTTCCGCGCTCTCGCTTTCACTTCACGCCTTAAATGGAACGCCTCAGAGCGAGGTAACGCCGCATAAGTCATGTTTTTTCGTGCGTGCAGCCGGCTCCATCGAATTATAAGACGTTGTCACGTCAAAAACTATCTGTACCCTGCCACGCTGCCTGCCACGCTACGCACGCGGCGCTACGCTGAGGCAGTCAAATCTGAATAGATACAGGAGCCATTCACCACAATGTGACGGATGAAACGGCTGTTAACGTTATCCTGGAGTGCTATGGAGTAACTACACAACGGGCACCAAAAAAAAAAGAAGAAATAAAAAATATTCCTTGCTAGGGTTGTTAGGTGATTAATCAGTGCGGTGTACTCACGGTGGTTGGTAGTGATGTCTGGGTGTACGTCTTTCGACTGCAGGCGCAGATACACTTACGTTGCTCTCGCCTGAAACATTGTAAGTTAACATTTGTAGTTATCTATCACTATCAACAGCCATTAATAGTTCACTGCTGGACATAGGCCTCTCCTTAGAAAGGAGGGTTTGGCCTACTATACCACGCTGGCCAGACGGGTTGGTATAGGGTTTGTTTCAAGTTTTCCTTCTCTTTGCACTGCTGTTGTCCTGCGTAGGTTGTTCCCTTAGTCGCCTTACGACACCCGCGGGATGAATAGGGGTGATGACATTCCGTATTCTTAATCCGTCACCACACGGACATGTAGTTATAGGACCCTGATTATTTGATATTAGAGATGAGCACTTTTTTTGAGGTTAAACAAGCAGACGTGTAAACTGATGGTAAGTGACCTGGTAGTCACTTAGAGCGGTGGTCCGCTCATTGCAATTTGAGAGATTCAAGTGCCGTTCTTTGATTGACCCCCCCCCCAGAGTTAGGTGGAGAGGGCTTTTTTTTTAACGCGTAGGATATCCCTTATGTCTTCGCCCCCGGGTTTATTGGAATCAGATCTTCTATACCCTCAAGGTGTGGCATACAGTGCCTTCAATAGGAGGAATCCGGGTATAGCTTTTATTAGACATCCAGATTCTTCCGAAAAACAGGGACGTCCAGGATCTGGTGAGATGATGTCCCTGTTTAGGTTTCCACATAAAAATAAAGATATAATATGGAAGAAATTAAGTTTGTTTTTAACATCTAAACTATCGAACCAATCATAAGCAAGTTTATTGTACATACACATGAATTAGATATACAGAAAAGGTGATAGGGTACCTAAATGAAAAAAGATCAGTAACAAAACACTAATGGTATCACCTGTTGGTTTAGTGGTTAGTGACCTTGACTGCTAAACCGGAGGTCGTGGGTTCGATTCCCACCCAGGACAAATATTGTGTGATGAGCACGGTCATTTGTTCTGAGTCTGGGTGTAATTTATCTATAATATGTATCTATTTAAAAATATATAAGTATGTTTATCAGCAGTCTGGTTACCATAGTACAGGCTCTGCCTAGTTTGGGATCAGACGGCCGTGTGTGAGGTGTATGAGGTTTATTATTATTATTAAATTATCTTCTTACCTGATGATAAATGTCTGGAAATGCGACGTCGCTTTCTACTGGGACTGTCTCCCGCCTTTGACGATAACTCACCGTCTGAAGAGCCCGCCCCGCTCACCATGGACTCCACTGGCCCTTCGAGAGGATTCGTGTCCTGGAAACATTATTTGAATGGATGAATTCCAAGAAATATGGTGGTAGGGAGGGGTATGGGTCTTGGGTACACTTACTCTGTGAAAAGCAACTAACTTATTGTTTAACACCGGTTTTCTATGAAGCTGTGTGAAGCATAATCTTTAACAAGCTCTTCGGGGGTCTGATTGCTCTGCACTGACTGAGGCTAACGGATGAAGATGGGCGAGTTTAAAGTACAATGATTACCATATGATGATGATGCATGGGATGTGGTGGCTCCGCTGAAGTACCAGCTCCGCCTGGAGACACACGTACATCTACAAAGTACAAAGAAAATTTAATAACATTTGTACGCACTTTTAAATTGCCTTGTTTCGCGATATTTAATTATTATTAATGTAAAATTTAATCACCACAGTAACAGCCAGTGCAACCTCGTCTAAATCGTCAGGTAATTCAAAGGTATAAAATGTAAGCTATATATTAAAACGTGAAAAAAAATTATTGATCCCCCTTTTAACCTCTTTGACCTTGACTGCTGAGCCGGAGATCGTGGTTTCGATTCCCACACAGGAAAAATTGATATGACCACGATCATTTGTTGTCTGTGTGTAATAGTAATGTATAAGTATGTTTATCAGCAGTCTGGTTACTATAAGTACCTACAGGCTCTTTCTAGTTTGCGCCGGAGGTCGCAGAACGACCTCCGTCCTCCATAAACGCAGGCCTTGGGGTGACAGGTGAGGTCATCTGTCACCCTAGCAGAAGTAGGCCGGGGTGGCGGCGAGCGCGCTGCGAGGCGCGCGCGCCCTACCGGGTGCACAGAGGGAACATGAGGGTTCCCATACAGGGGGGGTTGTCTACCCGCCGTAGATGGCCCGTTGTACGTAGAAAGAAATCCCTGGTGCCCACCAGGGATTTCTTTTCTAGGGTACACCTGGGCCTCAATTCTGCTATATACGGTAGTTGAAATTATTTACTTATTTTTGTTATAGTAAATTATTAAAAGAAATAAATAAATTAAATTAAATTAAAAAAAAATATATAAAAAAAGACTGAAAACAAAAAAAAATATTAAATAAACAAATCATTTCCTTATAATTTGAAAATATATTTATTTTAATATTATTTTTATTTTTATTTTTTATGTTTTTGTATTTTATTTTTTCATAATTTATTTATTTTAATAATTTATTAAAATAAATATATCATTTCCTCAAAAAACGTAATATATTTTTAACTGCCGATATTTATACCGATGCCAATGGCCACTCGATGGCATCTCAATAGCGTGTCAGTGGTATGACACTGGCTCGGCGTGAACATAAAATAGCAGAATTGAGGCCCTGGTTCGACTACTGGTACCTGAGACGGCTGGTTTTAGTAGGTTCGAGTCCGACATTGCCACCAATAAGTGGTAAAGGGAGGGGATTTCCGCACAGAAAAAAAAAGGCTCTTTCTAGTTTGTTATCAGACTACTGAGTGAATCTATTTACTACGAATTTCTTGTATTATTTATACCTGTGCGTCGTCTTTCGGAAGGGCCCGCGGCACGTCGCTCAGCGCGTCGAGAACCGCCTGCGCCTCCTCCTTGCCATAAAAACAGACAAAGGTTATCACAAATCTATTCTGTCTTCATAAATTTTAACACCTAATTGAATTAATTTACAATCTCGATGTTCAAAAAAACCTTTTCACGACGCAATCTAGTGGTAGATATTAAAGGGAAAAGCGGAGAAAATATAGGGGGGAATCGTGCAGGCTGGTCACTAGATGGTAAGATAATACTGCGGCTCTTGAAAAGCTGTAACTCAAAGAGTCACAAGCGAGTGGCCGGCCTTTGAGGTCCTGTTTCGTCTCTCTTTTCTTGAAAGGCTTGAAGGTCTGAAGGCTAAGTCACGTAATAAAAATTCAGTCAAAATTCAGTTCCTATCCACTCGTACTTCTTATTACTCTTATCTTCTTGTGATTAGGTATATCGTATTGTGACCGAAAGTTGATTCGGTAATCTTCTAGTCTTGTGGCAGTACGAAAGTACCTTTAATGGTATTTATGAGATCAAGAAAGTCCGTGTAGTGACGGATTAAGAACACGGAATGTCACTACCCCAATTCATCTCGTGGGTTTCGTAAGAGCCGACTAAGGGAGCAAACTACGCAACACAACAGCACTGCATAGAGAAGGAAAACTTGACGTGACTTGACGAGCGTGGCATAGTAGGCCAAAACCTCCTTTCTAAGGAGAGGCCTATGTCCAACAGTGGACTATTAAAGGCTGTTGATGATGAGATCAAGAGTAGATCGGAACCGAATTTTGACCGACTGTTCATTACGACAATTGGCTTCCTGGACATGATTTACAAGAAGCAAGTTGAAGAAAGAGAAATTGTTTAAACGGATGGTAATAGGTGGTATATGTTATAGGTGATAATAGGTCCAGCAGCTCAGGGTCGTATACCTGGAACTGGCTGTTGAAGAATATAAAGTGTATATGTAAATAGATGGTAATCACACAAGGTGTATGCCTATTTTTACTTAATGTTCCTTCCCTTCCATAACTGTCCCGAATTCCCATTTGATACAATAATATAATTTTTGAGTTGTATATATGGGACCACTTCTAAATGTAATGTCTTGGGAAAAACATGAAAAGTTCAGACAGACATGACATGAAAGAAAAAAAGTTTTAAAAATAAATCAATTTTTAGGCAACGAAATAATATTTCTTTTATTATCTCGTTGCTACAGAGGGAAGTGGATATATTATATTTCCAACTCCTTCAATTTTCTTCTGATTAATTTCATTGCGGGTTCCAAGACAGTTTAATTTTTTTTGGGACTGCCCGAGTACCATAACTCCTTGTGTTCGTGGGTCTCTGCTTTTGATCTAGGAGTACAGGAGTTACAGTGGTGGATGTGGGATTAGTCCCATTTAAAAAAAAAAACTGGTAATCACCTATACTGAGAGGCCTGTTGTGTTGTTCGTGATGATGCTGGTGAAGTTGGGAATGTTGAGGGTGTTGATGATGCGGGTGATGGCGCACGTCACGCTTGGCGGGCGGCGCTGGTGGCGGTGATGAGCCCACGCAAGCCTCCTTCGGACTGCCCGCGCTGCTGCCATCGCTGTAACAAATAAATGGATTAGTTATAATGACTATAAAAAAAACACTGCACGGGATGGCTTAGTGGTTTAAGCGGTCGCCTTGTCGCTTCTTGCTGCGCGTCCACAAATTGTGATTCTGAGTCTGGGTGTTCTTTGTGTCTGTTTCATGCATGTTTGTGAAGTCTCCCCGCTACACAGGATATATGTATATTCCTAGTGAGGAAGTTGTCTTTTTTAGAATAAGTTATTTATTCAATATAGCTAATATTTATTCAATACCACCCCTAAGGGGTTAAAATAAGGGATGATTGGTTGTATGGAAGTTCGTTATTTTTAAAGTTTAAACACGAAATAAGAAAAAATCATGTCTGGATTAGACCCGAGTGCTATAGACTTGAAATTATGTTTATATCGTTCACGTTAGGGCCTGGGGGTGACCAGGCCTGGGGGTGACACAGGCCTGGGGGTGACCAGGCCTGGGGGTGACCAGGCCTGGGGGTGACACAGGCCTGGGGGTGACACAGGCCTGGGGGTGACACAGGCCTGGGGGTGACAGGTGAGGCCATCTGTCATCCTAGCAGAAGCAGGCCGGGGTGGCGGCGAGCGCGTTGCGAAGCGCGCTCGCTTCCAGGGAGCACAGGGAACATGGGGTTCCCACACGGGGCGGGGGTCGTCTACTCGTCTGTAGATGATCCGAGGTATGTCGGGGCACCAGGGCCTTCCTTTCTAGGGTATACCTGGTTCCCCGGCTATTAGAACCCGGCGAAGGCGTGCGGTTTTAGTCGGTTCGTGTCCGACATGCCACCGACAGGTGGTATCCGAGGGGATTGCCGCACGGAAAAAAAAAAAAAAAAAAAAAAAAAGGGGGCGGAGCTGTCGACATATGCTAGTATAATATACAACTGAAACACAATGCAACAATAAACGACGACCGGATGGCGTAGTGGTTTGTGTAACGGACTGCTATTCCAAAAGGTTGCGGGTTTCAAATCCCGCTCAAGTCAAACATTTGTATGCATGAACATGTAATGTTTGATTTGGTCTGGGTGTTTCTATGTATAATATGTATGTATTTACAAAAAAAAAAGTATATAAGTATTTATATCAGTTGTCTAGTACCCATAGTACAAGCTCTGCTTAGTTTGGGTCTAGATGGCGCTGTGTGAATGTGGTACAATATTATTATATTATAAACACGTTTTTGATGGTGTTCACAGAATGCATTATCACTGAGGCGATGACATACACGTGGAACATTGCGACACACGACAAAGACAAAGAACTAACACAGTGATGTCACACACACACACAACGAATACAAGATGGCGCTCTTTGTTGCAAAGTCTCTTACAGATCTGTTATGGTTACGACATTTATATTTTTTTTTACTAATAAAAAGACGAAAGAGATATTTAGCGAATGCTTTTGTCACTATTACGTGGAGATCCGCATAATTAATATTTAAACGACTTCAAAAAGGAGGAGGTAATCAATTCGGAGGTTTATTTTTATGTATGTTCGGGCATAACTCCGTAATATTTAGACAGATTTCCAAAAATCTTTTTTGTTCCAAAGCGGTCCCATTTGATATTTCATATAGATCTGATGATGAGTTTTGGAGACAGTCAACGGAAATCTTCAAAAAATGACAGCAAATCAACCGCGATTGTGTTGCTAGGTTTTTAGTGCTCTTTGTTAGTATTGTTTGAAGTCGGTTCAAATTATTCTTTAAAATAATTTTTCTTGTTGTTTATCTAGCAGCTACTGATCCAGATGGTTAAGATTTTAATGTTTAATACTAAAATAAATTAATTAAGGGGTCACCTTGACGATTCTTACTGCGCTGCTTTGTGGGTTCGATCCCTACATGGGACAACACTGTGTGATCAGCAAACTGTTGTTCTGAATCTGAGTGTTCTTTGTGTCCGTTTCATGTAAGTTTGTAAAGACGCCCGCGACACAGGATATATTCCTAGTGCGGGAGTTGTCTTTCTAAAGAAAGAAAAATCTACGTTTTTTCTTAACGGGATCTGTTTAATGTAAGCGGATACAGCAGACCGGAGCTTACTTGCCGACTTAACCGGACCTACTTTATAAAATCCGTCACAAAAAACCGTGGTACCAACTGGCAAACTTAAAACTCACAAAAAGTACAGTATTTCTACTTTCTCGTTCAACAATTAGTGGCGCAACAGTTGCGTGACGTCACAGCGTTGCGTCACGCCCCCAGCTCGCTCTGTACGCTACAAAGTAGTCGAGCGCACACAAGAGGCAAGAATAAAGGCTGCACGTGCGCTTGCGCCGATGACGTCACACTACATTACTATATTCTAGTACCTACGTGTTTGTGTTGTGGAATGAGATTGTCGGTATTAACGGTGATATGGCTGCGCATTTATTGAACATCCGGGAATTGATTCAATTGCTTATAAGTACATATCATCATCATCATCAGCCATTAATGGTCCACTGTTGGGACATAGGCGTCTCCTTAGAAAGGTTTTGGCCAATTGTACCACGCTGGCCAGACGGGTTGATATACGGTTTGTTTCAAGTTTTCCTTTTCTTTGCAGTGGTCCTGCGTAGTTTGCTCCCTTAGTCTACACCCACGGGAGGAACAGTGGCGGTGACACTCTGCGGTATTCTTAATCCGACACCGCACTAGTACCTATACCACGCTGTGATAGGAAATTTACCACTACGATTCTACAGTTAAGAGCGGGTTAGGCAATAAGGAAACATCAAATGCGTTTTCATCATCATCATCTTCCTTTTAGGCAGGGTAAAAATCACAATCACTTGCGATAAATCATATAATCACACCTGTGGCTAATTTCCAACTCCACTGTATATTTTGATTACGCTAGCGCGAGACTTGCGAAAAGTCTAAATCTAAAAAAAAGGTTCGGTTTTTTCTTTGCTTAAGTTAATTTATCTTTGTCTATGACCGAAGCCCAGTAGTGATTTATCACAGTTGAAATAGCTATGACTAACGCTAATGATTTCATCATATGATTTCGATTTAAAAGCAGCAATAATTGCCATCACTCTTCTTAAATTTCTTTGCGGTGTAAGGAGTTTCTTCTTCCATTCTCCTTGATGACTCGACATCCTCTTTCATGCACTCCTTCATTTCGGTTTTGGCTTTTTCTTTTACAGCCGGCCTCTGGCCTGACGCCAACTCTTCTTGGGGATGTAATCATTCTTCATAAAAAGTATTAAGCGAAAGATATTTGGGAGTTTCAAACGATTTCGCTACTGTCGAACTGAACAGCTACACAGCCCTTTTTCCTGCAGGGCAACCATTATCACGTTAATATTACGTTTCCCTTACGTGTTGGTTAAACCAGACATTTAAAGAATTCCAAATTCTGCCATTTAACAAAGCTACTCATACATGTTTAAGCTTTGTTAATGTTACGCTTTGTATGTATACATTTTTATATTTGAAATGTTAAATTTGTGTACGCTACAAAATCTCAAAAAGTTCTGCACCGATGGAGCTCAAATTTTGGCACGTTATACAACAAGCTTCGAAGACTGTTTTTCGCAGCAGTTTGGTTCCTCATTTCTCACCAATGCAACCATAATACGCCACAAGGCAGCTTGGCAGGGTACGCCTAGTATATCATGAACATTGTATGTCATAATTAACAGCGTGTGTGTTATGTTACATAACACACAGACACGCTGTTTATTATAGACTAGCTGAGACCCGCGGTGTTACCCGCGTTTGTTGTTATAACCGCGGGCAACGACGCGGGGCGAAACTAGTCTAAAAAAAGTAGCCTAAGTTACTCCTTATGCTATATAGCTATCTGCCAGTGAAAGTCCCGTCGAAATCGGTCCAGCCGTTTCAGAGATTACCCGGAACAAACAGACAGACAGACAAAAATTGTAAAAAATGTTATTTTGGCATATGTACCGTGTAAAGATACATATGCATTTAGTAAAAAGCGGTTATTTTAATATTACAAACAGACACTCCAATTTTATTTATTTTTATAGTTGTATAGATATAGATATGCATAACGCATAGAGATACAAAACGTATGTATCTCTATGCGGATATCGCGTACGAAGGCCGCTTGAATACATAATAATTATTATTTATTAACTAACTAAAACGTTATAATTCCATACATGAAATTAAGTACTTTAAAAAAATATATCACCGACTTTGATGAATAAGTCATTATCTATTATACATATATATAAGAGATTTCCACGTATATAGTCACTCATCACGATATCTATGGAACCATTAGAGCTAAAGACTTGAAATTTGGTAGGAATATTCTTTTCACAGAGTAGAGGTCAGCTAAGAACGGATTTTAAGAAATTCAAAAAAAAAAATTTAAATAATGTAAATAGCAAAACAACGTTTGCAGGGTCAGCTAGTACATTATAATTTTGGAGGAAATACCACCCTTAAGGGTGGAAAATAAATGAATGAAGAATATAGTTTATCACAAATGATAGTGATGTAGGGGTATTGAATTCATCTGGTTCCCCGACTACTGGTACCTGAGACGGCGTGCGGTTTTAGTCGGTGCGAGTCCGACATTGCCACCGGTAAGTGGTATCCGAGGGGAATTCCGCACAGAAAAAAAGGGTATTGAATTGAAAATTAGTTTATAATTAATATAATATAAATTCCATTATATGTTTATCACCAGTCTGCAATGGAGGAGGAATGCAATTGCGATTCTCCCTCCCCCCTGCCATTGGCAAGCAGAGGAACACACTCAGTCGGACCGACCGACTGACAGTCCCCTAATGAGCCAAGGACATCCATGAGGATCTTCCAGCAAGATAACAAAAAAATGGTTACCATAGCACAGGCCTTGCCTAATTTGGGATCAGACGGCCAAGTGTGAGACTTCCGAAGAACATTAAGTATAAAAATATAATAAACGAGAGTAATTATTAGTCATAATATAAATTTGTACGTTAAAGTTAATTATAAAAACAATAATTGCCTAAGTGATTGAATAAATAATTGTAGAATGAATTATTGTAACAATTACAAGTAATTATTTTTAGTTTATATCAACTATTAACGCGACGTAATCTTATAATCTAAGCATGCAATAACTGTCACGGTCCGAGTTCTGGTACATGGACTCACGCCAATATATAAACGAAGGGTATGCAGAGAACGATTAGTAAAGAGTACAGAGTGTCACCATCCCTATTCACCCCGTAGGTGTCAGAAGAACCGACTACGGGAGCAAGACAACGGCACCGCAAAGGGAAGGAAAACTTGACACAAACCTTATACCAATCCGTCTGACCAGCGTGGTTTAGAAAGCCAAAACTTTTTAAGGAGAGATCCAAGCCCAGCAGTGGACTATTAAAGGCTGTTGACGATTATCACGGACTGACTTGTAGGTATACCTAGGACAAACATTGTGTGTGATGAGTATGATTATTTGTTCTATGTCTGGGTGTAGGTACTTTATCTACATTTAAATATACATTCTAAGTACATATGTACTTAGATATATATGTTTATCGATAGGGTAGTTAACAAAGCACAGGCTCAGTGTCGAACGGCAGCTACGCACTTGTCACTAACCTTTGTGTCCCCCCCCCCCCCCCTCCCCCCTTGTCCTTACCCCTCCAGGTATTAAAAGTACAACAAATCACTTGTGTCGTTTCAAGTAGTATCTATTAGCGATGTGCCGAGTAGGGCTTGACTCGAGTCAGACTCGATTCCTGCTTTAGAGTACTGGGCTCGAATCGCGGAATCGAGTCACGATTCGAATACCGTATAAACCGACTCGAGTCGATTCGATCCACCAAAACAGCGACTCGGCACATCAATAGTATCTATATATCCATGGACGGCGCTAATCATTTACTATCAGGAAACCCATCTACGTGTTTGCCTCCTACACCATAAACCAAAAAACTATAAACAGCAGAAACGATAACAATTTGTGCAATAAATTTAAAAAAAAAACATGAACGGCTCAAACTTTTACGAGCCAAAGTGGTAGTGTTCTGAACTTGGCATAGCGGTTTGGGCAGCTTTCACTACACCATCACGCCTGCCCAGTCATCAGTGTACGCCGTCGTTTTAAAAGTTCAATAAAGCTATGTTACATATAAGTAGGCCAAAACCTCCTTTCTAAGGGAGAGGCTTATGTCCAGCAGTGGACTGTTAAAGGCTGTTGATGATGATGATGACATATAAGTGTGCTAGATTTCGTTCGCGTAATGTCTTCGATCCCTTTCGAACTTTATTTCAG